AACATTCTGGAAGGAACCTGGAATCATTCACAGACTCAAAGAAACAGTTGAAGAACCAATCTTAGATACTGAGAAAAAATATGTCTCATTTCTGTTTTTTTCACTATATTGGGATCATTCTTTCAAACCAACTTACTCTAAAAACATGCAGAATGGCCAGGCACGGTGGCTCATGCCTGTAATCCTAGCACTTTGGGAGGCTGAGGTGGGTGGATCAATTTGAGGTCAGGAGTTTGAGACCTGGCTAACATGGTGAAACCCCCGTCTCTACTAAAAATCCAAAAATTAGCGAGGCATGGTGGCGCATGCCTGTAGATCCAGCTACTTGGGAGGCTGAGGCATAAGAATCACTTAAACCCAGGAGGCAGAGGTTGCAGTGAGCTGAGGTCACACCACTGCATTCCAACCTGAGTCACAGAGTGAGACTTTGTATCAAAAAATATATATAAAGAAAAAAAAATGGAGGACAAGATTATTCCTGACTCAGATGGTTACAATATGAGGAAAAAAAGAGGAAAATCGCTTTTTCCCTCAGCTCAGTTAGAAAAATCCCAGTGAGAGCCTGGATTGGTCCAGCTCAGGCCACATGCCCACCCTGACTTAATTACTATGCTATGAATGGGCCCATAGGGTGCTATGATTGGGCTGACTTGAGTCAGGTGCTCACCCTTCAAACAGTTGCTGAGACCAGGCAGGTGTTGCTATGGAAGAAGATGGCAACACACATTTGAATTACATGGCTAGAGTCTGGGGAGGAGCCTTTCCCGAAGTGCAGGAGGTGCGATGCCCAGGGGAAGAAATGAGACATGCTAGGCTGATGAAGTTTGCGGGTGTGCACCACTGACACATAAACAGCAGGGGAGAGGCCAGGCGCAGTGGCTCACACCTGTAATTCTAGCACTTTGGGAGGCCGAGGTGGGTGGATCACGAGGTCAGGAGTTCAAGACCACCCTGATCAACATGGTGAAACCTGGTCTCTGCTAAAAATATGGAAATTAGCTGGGTGTTGTGGCACTCAATATGATAAAACCTTGAACACTTGAGGTCAAGAGTTGAAGACCAGCCTGGCCAATATGACAAAGCCCCATCTCTACTAAAAATATGAAAATTAGCTGGGTGTTGTGGTGCACACCTGTAATCCCAGTCCCTTGGGAGGCTGAGGCAGGAGAATTGCTTGAACCGCTTGGCTCACTCGGTTGCCGTGAGCCAAGATCGAGCCACTGCACTCCAGCCTGGGCGACAGAGCGAGGCTCTGTCTCAAAAAAAAACAAAAAAGTTTTTTAAAACAAGCTATGTCAAGATTTGAATGTCAGTGGGGAAGAAAAATGGGTAGCTTCTAAGAGACACAGTGAAGCCACATTTATCCTGCTGAATTCATTGCAATACAAGGCTTGGACCTTGCGAAAGTAAGTCAGAAAAGAAATTGCCTGTTATGGAGTGCTCGCTGTATGCCAGGCATTTGGCTACATAAGCACTTTACATCAATTATTTCTTTTAGTTCCATCAGCAACCTTAGGTTGAGGTGTTCACATTCTCAGCAGAAGACAAGGACACTAAGGCAGCGTGAGCATAAGCCGAGCACTTGGGAGGTGAAGACGCTGGAACTAAATGACAGTAATGATCATGAGTACTTCTTGAGCTCTTACTCTGGGCCAGGTACTGTTGTAAGTACTTGACTTGAATTCACTCATTTAATTCACACAACTCTATGAGCTAAGTACTGTTATCTATTCACCAATAATAATGAGGAAACAAGTACTAAGAAGTGAAAGACCGGACCGAGATTCACATCTAGTAAGTGGCTGTGACGGTTAATACTGAGTGTCAACTGATCATCGTGAAGGATGCAAAGTGTTGGTCCTGGGTGTGTCTGTGAGGGTGTCGCCAAAGGAGATTAATATTCGAGTCAGTGGGCTGGGGAGGCAGACGCACCCTTCATCTGGTGGGCTCCATCGAATCAGCTGCCAGCGCAGCTAGAATATGAAGTAAGCAGAAAAAAAAAGTGAAAAGACTAGACTGGCCTAGCCTCCCAGCCTACATCTTTCTGCCGTGCTGGACCCTTCCTGCCCTTGAGTATCAGACTCCAGGTTCTTCAGTTTTGGGACTTGGACTGGCTTTCCTTGCTCCTTAGCTTGTAGATGGCCTATTGTGGGACCTTTTGATAGTATGAGTTAATACTCAATAAACTCCCCTTCATATATATACATATATCTCCTCTTTGTCTCTCTAGAGAACCCTGACTAAAATAGTGGCAGTGCTGGGCTAAGGACCCAGATGGTCTCACTCCTCAGCTTCACTTAGCAAATCACTGTGCCACACACCAGCCCAGGGGCCTGCAAGTGCCACACCATCTCCACCAGCCCAGGGGACTGCAAGCCTGGTGCCTGGTGCTGCCTCCTTTGCAGGCTGGAATTTGATCTGAACTTTTTTCCAGACTTCCAGGCTCAGAGTCTGAGATGCTGAATCATATTCATTTTCTAGAGACTGAGGTATAAGCCAGAGTATGTACCTATGCATCAGCCTCACCTGCTTGTTGCCTCCCAGAAGCTACCTGGGAACATGCAGCATCAGAAGGTTGCCTGGTGAGTACAGAAGCAGAATAGAGGGAATGAGTTCTGTGACTGAATGGTTTAATGACCTCGGCATCCTGTGTTCTGACATTGTTTCTGTGAAAAACAAATTTTTTTTAATTATTTTTTGAGATGGAGTCTTGCTCTGTCACCAGGCTAGAGTGCAGTGGCACGATCTTGGCTCACTGAAACCTCTACCTCCTGGGTTCAAGTAATTCTCCTGCCTCAGTCTCCCGAGGACTGGGACTACAGGCACGTGCCACCATGCCCGGCTAGCTTTTGTATTTTAAGTAGAGACGAAGTTTCACCATGTTGGCTAGGATGGTCTCCATCTCTTGACCTTGTGATCTGCCTGCCTCAGCCTCCCAAAGTGCTGGGATTACAGGCGTGAGCCACCACACTGGCCACATTTTTATTTTATTTTTGAGATGGAGTTTGACTCTTGTTGCCCAGGCTGGAGTGCAATGGTGTAATCTTGGCTCACTACAACCTCCGTCTCCTGGGATCATGCGATTTTCCTGCCTTAGCCTCCCGAGTAGCTAGGATTACAGGCATGTGTCACCACGCCCGCCTAATTTTTTGTATTTTTAGTAGAGACAGGGTTTCTCCATGTTAGTCAGGCTGGGCTCGAACTCCTGACCTCATGATCTGCTCACCTGGCCTCCCAAAGTGCTGGGATTACAGGCATGAGCCACCGCACCTGGCCTTTATTTTTTAATTTTTTAGACTGAGTTTCACGATTGTATCCCAGGCTGGAGCACAATGGCATGATCTCGGCTGACCACAACCTCTGACTCCCAGGTTCAAATGATTCTTCTGCCTCAGCCTCTCGAGGAGCTGGTATTACAGGCATGCGCTACCTCGCCTGGCTAATTTTGTATTTTTTTTTAGTAGAGATGGGGTTTCTTCATGTTGGTCAGGCCGGTCTTGTACTGCTGACCTCAGGTGATCTGCCCACCTTGGCCTCCTGAAGTGCTGGGATTACAGGTGTGAACCACCACGCCTGGCCCATTTTTATTTTATTTTTAAATACAGGTCTTAGTCTGTTGTCTAGACTGGAGTGCAATGGTGCTATCATGTCTCACTGCAGCTTTGAACTACTGGGTTCAAACGATCCTTCCACCTCAACCTCTTGAGTAGCTGAGACTACAGGTGTGCACCACTACTCCTGGCTTGTTTTATTTTTAATTTTAATTTTGTAGACACAGGGGCTGGCTACGTTGCTCAGGTTGGTCTCAAACTCCAGTGATCCTCCTGCCTCGCCCTCCCAAAGTGCTAGGATTACAGGCATGAGCCACCTCACCCACGACACATTTTTTTTTCTGTATCTGACACCAAGTGTTTGTTGTTCTGGAGAGTAGGTCAGACCCTCTGGACAGGATCTCCCTGACTGATTGGTTTCTTCGGGCTGGCCCATTCTGTCTCCAGATTTATTAATGATTCAGTGAAGTGCCTGTCGATCTTGTTGCCCTGGAAATCATGCCTTCTGTTTGAGATGACATTTCATATCCTTACTCTCCGATTCACCATTCAATCATTTACAAATATGAACACTTCTGTGTACAATAAATAGAGGATACAGTAGAGAGACGTTTCAGTGGAAGAGATACAGATATTAACATGTAAACGAGTGGAAAAAATGAGATTACTTCAGATGGTGATAAATGCTATGACGTTTCCTGCAGGGTAATGAGACTGAGTATGAGATGGAGGATGGTGTGGGGCTGTCAGAAGGGTGGGCTGGGGACGTCTGTGAGGATGGAGAATCTGAACTGAGCCCTGCATGTGAGGAACGAGCCAGTCATGGTCTTAAGAGTTTGTTCTCAGAGGAAGGAACTCTTCCACTCACACACCTTGTGAAGTGGAAGTTCATTGCTTGTCTCCAGAAAGACAATGGTATCAGTTAGGCAGGAATGGTTGCTGTGGCTAAGTACATGACGATTAAATGGTAATGTGGCCGTGTTTCCAACAAAAATTCCCAACACGTCGTCTTACAGGTAGCGTGAGGACTGGAAATATTTGAAATCAGGGTTATCTTGGACTTTCCAAGGCACGTGATTACCATAATCAACAGGCTACAGAGGGTTGGCCTGACCCCACATTGTTGGTATGGAAACTGCTCCCAGTTTCTAAAAAGCCAAATAACAGGTGAACTTCTGGAATAAAATCACTTGCCCTTTGGAATCATATTTCTTTTCCCCAACAACATTACATGTTCTTTCCTCAGCAAAAAGTCTAGATTTTACACATTTTTGAAGCCCTCGAAGCATTTAGCAGAGTCTTGGGCATACAGAAGATAGCAGGGTCCCGTGGCTCTGCCTGAAACGCGGAACCCGGTCTTGACTTTTGAGTGACTGAGCCCTCTTGGTGTCGCACTCTGGCCGGGCGTGCCAAGCGGCGGTTCTCCCTCCCGCCGCACGGGGGCGCAATGGGAAGCCCGCGTAGTGAGGAAGAGAGGCTGGAGCCGGTCTTGCACTGGGGAGGGCGCCGCTCCCAGAATGCACCTGGCATCAACACGGCGGCGGCGGTGGTTTCCAGCAGACTCCGGGGCGCCGAGCGGACTGGCACGCAGCCCGGGGACTCTGAGGCGGGGTGCAGGTGTTGAGGGGCGACTGGAGCCATGGCGGAGTCGGCGCCTGCTCGGGTAAGAGGCTCCGGCGCGCGGGCTCGAGGGCGCGTTGGGGAAGGCGGAGCCCCCTGCCCGGGGCGGAGCTTCGCGGGTTGGACGCAGCCAGGGCTTTGGTTTCCCCCGGCTGCCGCTGGCGCCGGTGAACGCGGACCCTCCTCCCCGCGACCCCAGTATTCTGCCCCTTTTTCCCCTCCGCTTCCTTTTGCGAAGGGGTCGGAGCCTCAGCGCCGTGTGCCTTTCCCCAGAAACTTCTTCGAAGCTTGTTTTATGTTGTCGGATTTGTGACCCTGGCCACACATTTTCTCTTTCGTGCCAAGAGAGAGCCCTTTCCCAGGTTGGAGCGGTGACGCAGGTTGGAAACGGTCTCCGTCGCCACGAGTGAGCTCTTCAGCTGCCCCAGAGACCCCTGGACTTGCCTCTCTGCGCCCACTCCTCGTTGGTCCGATGTATTGCCCGTTTCTCCGGTGCCACGGATTGCTGTCCTGGAGTTGAAGCCACAGGTTGAAGTCAGCCTGGGCTTCCTCTCTTTGAGGACGGGTGTTACCTACGGTGTAGTTGCTGCATTTTGTTTGTAAACCTGTCCAAACTGTCTCCTTCACTCCCTCTTCTCCCGACCTTCTCTATTCTGGGAATGTCAAGATACGGAGCTTGTCGTGGGGAGAATCCTAGCTGTGGAGTCACGAAGCGAGTTCAGCCGTAATTCAGCTCTCAGCTATCCATTTGGGTGATTTTAGGCAACTGTGTTTGCCTCTGGGTCTCTGTTTTGTTTTCCTAACTGTAAATCGGGAGTGTTAGAGTAGTTGCTAGATGATCTCTGTGGTTCCAGCTCCGACATTCTCATACCATTCCAAAGTAGTGGTTAATTTAATCACACCAGAGGGTTTGCAGCGGAAAGGGCAGCTGGGACTAAATTGATTTTTAGTGAAGTGTTCCTTGGTCTAGAAACACTTTAAGAATCGTGTTAGATCTTTGTGTGAATGGAGGGCAAAGGAGAGTCTGTGGTGAAAACTTTGCCATGACCAGGATGCACTGTATTTGATTCTTGTAGCAAGTGGGTAAAGAACTAAAAAGAGGATTGGAAGACTTAGAGAACACAGTGTTTGTTTTCAAGGAAGTTAACAGTTGAATTGGGAAGACAACACGCAAGTGTTTACAATATTTACTTCATCTGCCTCCTGTAAGCTAGGCTGAGCGAGTCAAAGACCTGGCTTTTCCACAGGTCTAGGTCATGTTAGAGTCGGGCAAGAGGACTCTGCCACAGTTCTTCCTACCAGGTCACTCCACAGTTACCTACATGTCATCAGTAGACCTTGTTAGGAAGAAGCCTTAAAGGTCCATCACAATCCCCAGCTATGCCTTAAATAATGTGAATTTGTCATTGTAGAACTTAAATTGTTCTTGAGCCTGTTTCTATTCTCAGACGTCTCTTCAGGTGAGGATTCTGTGCCTCTCGTTTGACAGGCCGAGTAGGTGCCCTGAAAAAACAAGTAAAAATGCTGGAAACCCCCCAAATAAATGCATTTGAAATGTATGTTAGTAAAGAATACTTGGACCCCAAAACTAAGTGAAAGAGGGAACTCGAAAGTGATAGAGTTCTGAAGCCAACTTTGAGGCCAAAGTTGCTGAACATTCATCTTTGGTGTTTATGACTCTAGGGACCTACAAAATACACAAATCTTTAGAGCCTAAGATGGAAAGTCTAAGAAGCTCCCTAACCCAATCCCATGAAGCAGAGACTGGAAAGGGCAACAGTCTGTATAAGGGTGAACTGAAAGTTAAGGTCTGACCTTCAGATGATTGCAAAGAAAACTGTTAAACCTTGGCAGTGAGAGATGGTTATGAGGTGCCCCTTGAGAATTCATAGTTACCCTTATGTCGGTTTGTTACTGAATTCATGCTACTTGGATGGTTCAAGGAACCTGAAGCCAAGGGTTAAAGTAGAGCCCTCAGCTCTGTATCCACAATAAACACGAATCTTTTCTGGAGGAATCTACAAGTAACTCAGGCTTCTCATAGATAATGTGAGTTCATGATAAAAAATTGCTGGCCGGGCACAGTGGCTCATGCCTGTAATTCCAGCACGTAGGGAGGCCTAGGCAAGTGGATCACTTGAGGTCAGGAGATGAGCCTGGTCAGTATGGTGAAACCCCATCTCTACTAAAAATAGAAAAATTAGCTGGATGTGGTAGTGCACGCCTGTAATCCCAGCTACTCAGGAGGCTGAGGCAGGAGAATCTCATGAACCCAGGAGGCAAATGTTGCAGTGAGCCAAGATCATGCCACTATGCTCCAGCCTGGGTGACAGAGCAAGACTCTTGTCTCAGTAAAAATAAAATAAGTAATGGACAACTCTCAACATTTCAGTTATTAGAGTTATTGGATACAGATTATAAAATAACCATGTTTAGTATATTTAAAGATTAAAAAAAGGAGGGAAAATGTGAATAAAGGCCAAGAGACTATAAAGATGACCAAACATATTTGAAAAAGAATCAAATAGAATATCTAAGAATGGAAAATATAATTAACATTGAGAAGTCAGTAGTAAGCTTTACTTAGCATGTCAGACATGCAAAGAGAGAAATAGGCGACTGGGTGGTGGAGGTAAATAAATTATCCGGAAAGCAGCACAGAGTTCAAAAAATGGAAAAGAAGGTAAGAGATAGGGAAGAATGAATGAGAAAGTCTAATAGTCATCTAATTAAAATTCCAGAGGGAAAACACACAGTCTGGAGTCTGTGTTTCTTGAGTAGCTGATGGTTGATGATATCGTAGGGCTGATACAAATGCCAGTACACAGAAACTCAGTGGACTCCAATCAGGACAAACAAAAAGAAATCTCTACCTAGACACGTGGTGGCAAAAATATGGAGTACAAGGCAGAGGGATTTTTTTTTTTTTTTGAGGCGGAGTCTCTCCGTGTTGACCAGGCTGGAGTGCAATGGCGCAATCTCAGCTCACTGCAACCCCCGCCTCCCGGGTTCAAGTGATTCTCCTGTTTCAGACTTTCAAGTAGCTGGGATTACAGATGCACACCACCACACCTGGCTAATTTTTTGTATTTTAGTAGAGACGGGGTTTTGCCATGTTGCCCAGGCTGGTCTCAAACTCCTGAGCTCAGGTAATACACCAGCCTCGGCTTCCCAAAATGTTGAGATTACAGGCATGAGCCACTGTGCACGGACTTTTTTTTTCCTTTTTTTTTTTTTGAGACAGAGCCTCGCTCTGTTGCCCTGGCTCGAGTGCAGTGGAGCAATCTTGGCTCACTGAAACCTCTGCCTCCTGGATTCTAAGCGATTCTCCTGCCTCAGCCTCCAGAGTAGCTGAGATTACAGGCACGTGTCACCTTGCCCAGCTAATGTTGTATTTTTAGTAGAGATAGGGTTTCACCATGTTGACTGGGCTGGTCTCAAACTCCTGATCACAGATGATTCACCCGCCTCAACCTCCCAAAGTGCTGGGATTACAGGCATGAGCCACTGCACCTGGCCTAAGGCAGAGGGCATTCTTAAAAGCAACCAGAGAAAAAACACAGACTACCACAGTGAAACTAATGGGGACCAGCTTCTCGACAGCAACCATGGGAGCCATACAACAGGTGAATGATATTGTCAATGGGCTGAAAGAAAGTAACTATAATCCCAGAGTTTTATATGCAGCAAAAATATGTTTCAGAAACAAAGATACAATGAAGACATTTTCAGACAAATTAAAACTGACAGTTTGCTACCAGTACACTCTTAGTAAAGGAAATTTTAAAAGGTATACCTCAGGTAAAATGAAGATTATCCCAAATAGAAAGTAAAGTCTGAGAAGATGTGATGATGCATGAAAATGATTAAATGTGGCCGAGCACAGTGGCTCACATCTGTAGTCCCAGCTACTCGGGAGGCTGAGGCAGGAGAATCGCTTGAACCTGCGGGGTGGAGGCTGCAGTGAGCTGAGATCGTGCCACTGCACTCCAGCCTGGGTGACAGTGAGACTCTATCTCAAAAAAAAAAGAAAATGGTTAAATGTAAAGAAATGCCTTAATGAAACAATAACAATTTTTTGTTATGTTGAAAACAATTTAAATACGTGATGGCATTGATGTAAATGTTAGGAATAGATGACCAGAATTAAAGTGTTTAAAAGTCTTTGTTAAAGAGCCTTCTGTGTATGTTTTCCATAATTTCTAGGACACTTGCTAAAAGACTAGAAATTGTCTGTATAACTTAAATTACAAATTCGTATAATAGAACAAGAAAAAAATTAATGTAAAATAAGGCAAGAAAGTAGAGAAGAAAGATGAAGTAAATAGCACAAAAAAGGTAGAAATAAATCAAAATGAACAATTGCAATAAATGTAAATGAATGAAATGTTCAAGTTAAAAGGCAGAGATTGTCAGGATGGGGGGAAAATCCAGCTAGATGGTTTAAAAGAGATACAACTAAAAGATAAAGATACAGAAACAGTTGAATATGAAAGGACATGAAAAAAATATACCAAGCAAATACTAATCAAAAGAAAGTTGACTTAAGTATATATAATATCTCTAGAGATAGAAGGCTACTACTACTTTTGTAATGGCAAAAGACTCAATTTACCAGCTAGATACAAAATTTCTAAACCTATATGCACCTAATTACATAGCCTCAAAATATATAAAACAAAATTGACAGAACTACAATAAAGATTCACTATTATAATAGGAGATTTTAACACAACCTTAGTATTTTATGAAACAGAAAAGAATTACAAGGGTTATAGTACATCCAGTAGAACGTTCTAAGATATTAGAAATGTTCTGCTCTGCACTGTTTAATACAATAGCAGCTTGTCACATGTGGCTTTTGAGTACTTGAAATGCTAGTGTGATGGAGGAACTAAGTTTTTAATTTAATTTTTTTTTGAGACAAAGTCTCACTCTGTCACTCAGGCTGGAGTGCAGTGGCATGATCTTGGCTCATTGCAGCCTCTGCTTCCAGGTTAGAGTGATTCTCCTACCTCAGCCTCCCAAAGAGCTGGGATTACA